AATGTTGGAAGAAGCTGTGGATGATCCATGACTTGACTTGAAGGGCTAGATTTTACAGAAACAATATCATTGAGAATGTCACTGCTTTTTGTCGTTATTCTGCTAAATCATAGAATCCCTACAGTGTGGAAACAGGCCCTTCGGCCCAACAAGTCCACACTGACCCTCGGAGCATCCCACTCAGACCCATCCCTGAGTGTGACTTGGGGATTGATATGTGTGCAGTTAAACGTGGCATTCAGAGATTACTGCCAGTGATCAAAATTCAATTGTTTAGAAATTATTAAGCTGATGAGAGCCATTTATTTTGCTATAAAAGCCCTTGAAAGATTGCTCGTTATTAAATGGGTTTTTAATGGTTACGAAGTTTATAATTATCAGTAGGAATCTTGTGGTGTAGTAGGGACACTACCTTTGTACCAGGAGGCCAGGGTTCAAGTCCCACCTGCTGCAGAATTGTGTCATAACATGCCTGAACTGGTTAATTAAAGATAACTAGACATAAGATTAGTCCCTTGATCATCCAAAACTTAAGTATTGCAAGTCACAGGGTAAGGACGGCAGATTTCCTTTCCTAAAGGATGTTGGTAAATCAGATGGGTTTTCAATGACAATTGACAGAGGTAGTGAAACATGGTCACCATTTGGTTAGCTTTTTATTCCAGATACTTATTGAATTCAAATTTCAGCATCTGCCATAGTGGGATTTGAATCATGTTCCCAGACCATTAACTTGAGGTTCTGGATTACTATTCCAGACATATTACTGCTGCTCAATTGGCCCCATGAAATGATGCATAAACCACCACAGCTGTTCTTTCATTGCAGCTTGAAACTGATTTGTAAGTTCTCTCCACTCAACTGTACTGTCAGATGAAGTGACTCATCTAATTAGAGATGTTAGATTCTCAGGAATATGTTGTCAGAGAAGTTTAAATACAAACCTGCTTCTCCTCAGGACAAGTAATCCTTGCAGATTTCAAGTCAACCAGGAAGAGGCGCCTGTTGCCTACAGGTTGAGGCAGAGAACACAACTCTTCAGACACACTGGCTGCTCCCTTCCCCACTAAGCAGCATGCTGACTGCTCAGAGTCATTGGAGTCATATTTTCAAATTATCCGCGTAAATTCTTCTGAAAGCAATCATAGGCTAATTGTTCCCGTAAGTGTGAGCCAGAGCACATTGCCTCATATCTTACATAATCTTTCACAGCTATTTTTAAGAAAATCATTTTTTTTAAACTATGCCAGATGCATTTTATTTCAACGGTGATGATGTACAGATTCACTAATGGTCACAAGAAGCTGAAGGTTTAGACTGTGACTCGAAGCCAAAGCTGAGGAATGTGGGGCATAACAACACTGGGCCCAGCTGTGATGCCCGGCCCTCTTTAAAGCTTTGCTGCATATGCCCAAGTGCACAGATTTATGTGAATGAGTTCAGAGTACATGGTTGGTGGTTTGTGAACTCCCTTTTCACCAGTGCTGTGGGTTTGTGAAGCGGGGAGGTTTGGTAAGTAGAGAAGGCTGCATTGGCAAAAAAGGTTTTCTTCACTTGCAAATTGCTGCAAGGAGCTTAAATACAAGCCACTGCTTACCGTGTTTTGACCTTGATAAGAAAACTAGTGGAAATATAATGCTTAATTCTGTGACCAGATGATACAAACTGGACTTCATTTATTTAAAACAAAATGCTACAAAAACTTTTTTCTCTGGAGTTTCCTAACCTTGGGACATCTCCAAAGCATTTAAAAGCCAGTAACAAATTATTAAAGTGTAGGAAATGTTGCAATCTATTTTATGCACAGCAAGTTCCCAAAAACAGATTGTGTAACAGGGCTGTTGGTTAAGGAGTAAGTATTAGCCAGAATGCACAGCACACTGGCTGCTCTCGCAGACAGTGACTTTTGCATTCTGAGAAGGAAAGAATGACTTCAGTTTTAACATCAGATTAAAAGACAGCACCTATAACTCCAGTCCCTCAGTGCTACACTGGGAGTGTCGAATGAATGCAGGAAATAAGTGCAAAAGTCAGGCCCGAGTTACACTGTTTGAGCGCCGCTTTAACACTGGTATCCATCTAACAAAGTATAAAACTGCTCAGGAATATCCTGCACGCAAAAAGCAGAACAAATCCAACCCAGTGAATTACCACCCCATTGACCGACTCTCCATCATCAGTAAAGTGATTGAAAGTGTCATCGAGAGTACTACAGAAGAACAAAGAACAAAGAACAATACAGCACAAGAACAGGCCCTTCGGCCCTCTAAGTCTGTGCAGATACATTTTGCCCTTCCATACCTCACTTGCAGGATCCATATCCCTTTATTCCCATCCTATTTATGTACTTGTCCGAGTGCTTCTTGAATGTTGCTATTGTGTCTGCTTCCACCACCACCTCTGGCAGCACATTCCAGGCACTAACCACCCTTTTGCGGGAAAAACCTGCCTTGCCCGTCTCTTTTAAACTCCTCCCCTCTCACGTTGTACGTGTGTCCCCTAGTAATTGATCCCTCCACCCTGGGAAAAAGCCTCATACTTTCCACTCTATCCATGCCATTCTCAATCTTATAAACTTGTATTAGGGTTGCCCCTGAATCTCCTGTATTCCAGTGAAAACAAACCCAGTCTATCCATCCTTTCTTCATGATTAAAATCCCCCGTACCAGGCAACGTCCTAGTAAACCTTTTCTGTACTGTCTCCAAAGCATCCACATCCTTCTGGTAGCGTGGTGACCAGAACTGTACACAATATTCCAAGTATGGCCTAACTAAAGTTCTATAAAGCTGCAGCATAACTTGACTATCCTTGTACCTAACACCCCTTCCAATGAAGGCAAGCATGCCGTAAGCCTTTTTTCACTACCTTCTTTACCTGCACTGCACAGTGATTTGTGGCCCTGTACACCCAGATCCCTCGGCATATCAATACTCCTAAGGGTTCTGTCATTCACTGCATAATTTCCATCTGTACTTGACTTCTAAAATCCATCACCTTCGATTTTTCCGGATTAAGCTCCATCTGTCATTTTTCTGCCCATGTGCCCATTTGATCTATATCCTGCTGTATCCTCTGATAATCCTCCTCACCATCCGCAACTGCACCAATCTTTGTAACGTCTGCAAACTTATTAATTAGACCAGCTATGTTTTCCTTCAAATCATTTATGTAGATCACGAACAGCAGAGGTCCCAGCACTGGTCCCTGTGGAAAGCCACTAGTCACGACCCTCCTTTCCGAAAAGCATCCTTCAACTGCTACCCCCTGTCTCCTGTGACTAAGCCAGTTCTGTATCCATCTTGCCAGCTCACCCCTGATACCATGCGACTTTACCTTTTGTACCAGTCTGCCATAAGGGGCCTTGTTCAAAGGCTTTACTGAAATCCATGTAGACAACATCAACCATTTTCCCTCATTAGTCTTCTTCATCTCCTCACAAAACGATGCTGTCTATTGTTAATAAGTCCATTTGCTTCCAAATGTGTATAGATCTTGTCCCTGTGAATCTTTTCCAATAATTTCCCTACCACTGACGTGAGACTTGCAGGTCTGTAACTTCCAGGATTATCCCTGCTACCCTTCTTAAACAATGGGACAACATTGGCTATTCTCCAGTCCTCTGGGACATTACCTGTGGCCAAAGAGGATACAAAGTGTCTGTCAATGCTCCAGCAATTTGTTCTTTTGCCTCCCTCAATATTCTGGGATAGATCCTATCAGGACCTGGGGGCTTATCTACCTTAATACTTTTCAAGGTGGACAAAATCTCTTCCTTTGTAATAGCAACTTTGGCTGAGAAACTCGACACTCCCTTCCCTCAGATCATCCTCCACCAATTCCTTCACTTTGATGAATACCGACACAAGGTATTTGTTTAAGACCTCACCCACTACTTCTGGCTACACAGGTAGATTCCCTCCTTTGTCCTTTAGTGGGCCACCTCTTTCCCTGGCTCCCCTCTAGCTTTTTATGTCTGCATAAAAAGCCTTAGGATTCTCCTTCATCCTGTTTGCTACAAACTTTTCATGACCCCTTTTAGACCTTCTAATTCCTTGATTAAGTTCTTTCCCACTTTCCTTATATACTTCAAAGGCTTCATCAGTTTGCATCCTCCTAGACATTACATATTTCTTTTTTCTTTACCTTTTTCTTTCTGACCAAGGTCATAACATCCCTGATCGTCTAAAGTTCACGTAACTTGCCATACGTATCCTTTATTCTCACAGGAATGTGCTGCTCCTGAACTCTTTTATCAACTGCCATTTGAAATACTCCCACGTGACTGATGTAGATTTACACTCAAATGGCTGCCTCCAATCAAAATTCTCCAGTTCCTACCTAATATTAGATCATAGAATCCCTACAGTGTGGAAACAGGCCCTTCGGCACAGCAAGTCCACACTGACCCTCGGAGCATCCCACTCAGACCTATCCCCCTGTAAACCACCTAATCTACATGTCCCTGAACACTACGGGCAATTTAGCATGGCCAATCCACCTACCCTGCACATCTTTGGACTGTGGGAGGAAACCGGAGCATCCGGAAGAAACCCTCACAGACAGAGGAAGAATGTGCAAACTCCACACAGAATGTCACCCGAGGGTGAAATTGAACCTGGGTCCCTGGGGTGCTGTGAGGCAGAAGTGTTAACCACTGAGGGTCGAATCGAACCTTTTTGTTGTAGTTCACCTTGCCCCAGTTTAATACCTTCACCCGAGGACTGGTGTTATCTTTATCCATCAGTGTCTCAAAACTCACGGTATTGTGGTCACAAGTATTGAATATAGTATTCTAGATGAGATTTCACCAATACTCGATTCAATTGCAAATTGTATGAAGTGCTCTGGAGTGTAGTTTGTACTTTGTTCTGCATCTGAGCTGACACAACTGCAGCTAATACTGTCCAGAATAAATTTGTTTTGTGTCTTGGCTGGGGATGGAGGAAGGATCATTTCCGGTAATAGTGTCAGACCCTGTACTTTTACTTTCCTGTTTCAGATATTTGAGTGGTGGTATTTTCGAAAGTACGGCACGTCTTTCATTGAGCAGGTCTCCGTGAGCCACTTGCGGCCACTGCTTGGCGCAGTGGATAATAACCTGCCTGCGGTTAATTTTACTGCCAGCAATGGAGAGGCTGAATCGAACAGGCAAAACGTGTCAGGTAATCACTTCTGTTGATACTCTTGATTATTTTGATTTTTAAAGTTTCAAGGAGCATGTCCTACATATTATTACTGTTCCAATTTTGAAGTGTAAATTAGTAATTTGTTCCCAAATTTTGTGTACCAAAATTATACACCGTATTCCAGACAGGGGTCTCATCCACGCAAATAAATGCAAAATACTGCAGATGCTGGAAATCTAAAACGAACAATTCTGGAGAAACTCAGTAAGTCTGCAACACCTGTGAAGAGAAACAGATTTGATGTTTAACCCACCCTTCACACAAGTGCTTAAGTTTCTGGCCTGTGGTTTGAACCCATGTTTTTCTGAATCTGAGTTTAATAAAGCTACCCACTGCTGCCTTTGCATGTATTGTGGAGAATAAATAGGGTTCTGAAGAACAGTTATATTGCACTCGGGGTGAAATATCTCTGTCCATAGATGCAGTCAGACCAGAGTTTTTCTGGCAGTTTCTGTTTTGATCTCTGCTACTTCCATTTAACATATCATTAAAGAGACTATTTCTGCTATCCACTAATTTTGGTGAAATTTAGAAATAGGAAACTTTGAACAATATGTAACCACATACCTGTATTAGAAATAACTGAAGATGAAGTAATGCAAGATTCTGTTACTGCTATTAAACAGGCCTTTATACCCGGCATATCTTATATATCAGCTCTATCTGTCCAGTTATTTTCAGAAGTTCTGCTCCAGTGGACTTCACATTTCAATTATTCCATAGCTGAGTTCACCTTAGCGAGGTGGTTACACCTGGCTCCCACTCTGCCTTTGCCCCTGACTTTCTGCCCTGTCTCTCCACCTTGAAAGACAAGGAGTTATAGCTAATTGGAAATGTATTGATTTATTTGAATGTAGAATTGTCCTCTACAAACAATTATTGAACAGAAAACTCTTTTTCAAAAGTTATTTTTGTAGGGATGGTTTATTAATAATAAGGGCAAGCAAGAGAAGAGTATTTGATAGAATTTATGGAGAATCTCATTACTGCAGTCTTTATGAGCTGAATTGCTTGTTTCCCTGCTAAGTGTCAATTATCGGTTGACTCAGTTTGTAAGAGGGTGGACAGACAGGTAAACTCTTGATGCTTTAGCTTTTAACTTCACTCCCACCCTGTTCAAAACAAATTATGTATAAATTGTATGGACTCACACCTGTGTACTGGGATTCTGATTACAGAATCCGAGACCCTGGTGTGAATCTTATCATAGAAATAATATGGAGATTTCTGTCGTATAAACTGTATTTTAGGTATGAATAAGATGTGAACAGGGGATCCAACTTACATTTAGCTATTTGAGTGGTGTAGATAGCAACCCCGAACATGAGTAATAGAGGAGACATTCTTGGCCTAAAACAATTGTTGATGTCACATTACTTTTTGGTTTTGGCATCAGTCCATGAAACAACCTTAGCAAGCATTACTTTAAACACTCGGATGAGATTTATTGAACAAGGGCACTCAGCAATTGAAGTGTCAAAGCTCCTGAAGCTATGATTGATTATGGATCTGTTGACATAAAATAGACTGCTTGGAGATTGCCAGCTTGATTGAATGGCCAGGCTGCAGCGTTTAAGCTGTTGAATCAGTCTGCCTGTCCTCAGTTATAACCTTTCGTATATTTCTTCTCCATGTTTGTTAATCCTCGCTCTGGGAGTGCAGAGTGGCAACCAGGCAGACTTGTTTCCAGCTCTCAGTCAGTGCTGTTTGCTTTTAACTTCCTCTTCCTGTTTACAAGAAATGATGAAACCTTGAGAAAATGACCTCTTTCCCCATGGAGATGAGATGAGAGCTCAGTTTGTGGTTGTTGTCTTTTTCAAGATGCTCTGTGTTTTTTTTTCTACTAGTTACTAGATCAACAAACCTTAAGGTTTTCCAATGAATTCTTTGTCCATTGCATGTGCACCTATAACGTATAGCACCTGTAATTAGTATAGCACCTAGTTTACTTTGACACTTGCCTGACTGAAAATACAGTGATCATTAGCATTCTAAAACCCCGATGTATTTTGTGTCTGTTTTTGTCATTGTGCTTTTGTGAATATTTTGTGACATTAAAGGTGCTGTGGAAATTGAAATTGTTATGACTAAGGCGCTTCTGTCCACTAGACATTAGACAACATTTCACCAAGTTCTAATCACACTGGACCCTTGCAGTCACTAGAGAAATGAGGTTTTCATCTGATATGAGCTGGATTTCAGCTGAAATTTTAGTGATGGAAAGTTATTGGCCACTGCTCTGGCCAATCACTGCTGGAGAATATTTTAAGAGCTACAGTTGTAAGCACCATGGACTAATTTCTAGCCAAACATTTTAATCTTGCAACATCTCAAAATTTGTATTGGCAGAATGTAAGGTGTGGCGAAACCCGCTGAATCTCTTCAGGGGAGCCGAGTACAGCAGGTAAGTGTTCTCATAATTAAGTCAAAGGAAATTAAGCCTGCATAGGTGTTGAGTGGAGGAAGCATGAGAATAAAAGGTTCAGATCCCCACAACTTCCAGCTGATAAAACCTTCTCAAAGACTGAGTTGGAGTTCTGGTCAAAGCTTGTTTTGTGTACAAGAAGGAAGATTGTGTCGTTTTGTATATTTAACAATGCAAGTTAGTGGAGATGTAATTGCACACTGTATCAAGCCTATTGCAGGTATTCGAAGAGTATAAGTGCAGAATTTATTGTCATTAATGGGGTTCTTGCCAGGTAGAGTCATGGATTTGTACAGCACAGAAACAGACCTTTTGGTCCAATTCGTCCACGCTGACCAGATATCCCATTTGCCAGCATTTGGCCCATTATCCTGCTAAATCCTTTCTATTCATGTACCCATCAGGATGCCTTTTAAGTGTTGTACTTGTACCAGCCTCAACCATTTCCTCTGGCAGCACATTTTATGCACGTACCCACAGTTTGTGTGAAAAAGTTACCCCTTAGGTCTCTTTTTGTAATTTTCCACTCTCATCTTAACCCTATGTCGTCTATTTTTGGATTCTCCTCCCCTGGGAAAACGACCTTAGCTATTTAGCCTATCCGTGCCCCTCATGATTTTATAAGCCTCTATAAGGTCACCCCACAGCCTCCGACGCTCCAGAAAAAAACAGCCCCAGTCTACTCAGTTCCCCCCCATAGCTCAAACCCTCCAACCCTGGCAACATCCTTGTGAATCTTTTCCGAACCCTTTCAAGTTTCACAACATCTTTCCTGTAGCAGGGTCACCAGAACTGAATGCAGTATTCGAAATGTGGCCTATTCAATGTCCTGTACAGTCCCAACATGACATTCCAACTCCTATACTCAATGGCTCAAGCATTTTTCCAGGGAAGCCCATTGTAATGGGCTGAACTGGGCAGCAGTGTGCAAACCCTGGGATCAAAAGTCTCCTCCCTCACTGCTGAAGCTGGTAGCCAGTGGCAGCACCACAAGGGCAGCAGTGGCCCTTGCTTGTACTGTAACCACTCAATCCAGGATTTTGCTGAGGGGCACAAACTGCAGATGAATGATGTGGGTTTGGGAAAAGGTTTGTGAGGTGGAGACTGCAGAGGAACCATGGCAGGTAAGCAACAAGGGTAGGGGTGTGATTATTGGGATCCCCCTCTCCACACCCAACCTTTCCCGATGCTGCGGAATCAGTCATTAAGCACCTTTTGAATGATGCACCTCTTGTAGAAGCCTGCAAGCAACAATAAAAAGCTTTGCATTCCAGACGGCCTGCATGGCAAATTCCCAGCCTGTCACTAGGGCAATACCCGCATAGCAGTTGGAAGCAGGGTGAGGCCTTTAAGTGGGCATTGATTGCCAACCAAAGGGCCTGAATTTCGGAAGGATAGAAAGGCAGCCAATGAGCCTTCATACCATAGACCAGTCAAAGCGAATGATGGAAGGCAGCACGGTTCCCAGTAACCACCCTCTGACCCAATTAAATGACCCTTCATCAGCAAACATGCTGTGATAGAGAGCGTTAAATTCGACCTAAGAAACTTCAAGTGAAAAAAAATGAAATTGTCCACTTTGGCATGACAAATTGAAACAAAAGCATATTCGGTTCGGCTACATCTGGAGTATTGTGTCCAGTTCTGGTCGCCTCATTACAGGAAAGATGTGGAAGCGTTGGAAAAGGTGCAGAGGAGATTTACCAGGATGTTGCCTGGACTGGAGGGAAGGTCTTATGAGGAAATGTTGAGAGAGCTTGGGCTTTTCTCTTTAGAATGATGAAGGATGAGAGGTGTACAAAATCATCAGAAGTATAGATAGAGTGGACAGCCAGAGACATCTTCCTCGCGTGGAGGTAGCTATTACGAGGGGGCATAGTTTTAAAGTGAGTGGAGGTAGATATAGGGGAGACATCAGAGGTAGGTTCTTTACTTAGAGAGTGGTTGGGGTGTGGAATTCATTGCCGGAGAGTGTAGTGGAGTCGGCCTCATTAGGGGCATTTAAGCACCTATTAGATAGGCATATGGATGCTAGTATAAGGTAGGGGTGGAGGTTAGATAGACCTTGGGTTTAGGGTAAAAGTTCGGCACAACATCGTGGGCCGAAGGGCCAGGACTGTGCTGTACTGCTCTGTGTTCTATATTATGTAGATGGTGAGAGGTTACAGAGCTCTGAGATGCAGAAGGATTTGGGTCTCCCAGTGCATTAATCACAAAAGGCTAGTTTGCAGGTGGAGCAAGTAATTTAAGAAACTAATGAAATGTTATAATTTATTTGCAAGGGAAACTTAATCTTATAACTGAAGCGTATTTTTGTATTATAAAGCATAGCAACAGGAGTAAGCCATTTGCCCCTTGAGCCGCCTTCACCGTTCAGTAGGAGCATGGCTAATTTAATCCGACATTGCTTATATCCGTTTTCCTGTGTTTTCCCTGTAACAGGGTCACATTTGGAATACAGCTGGTTGCTTTCCTTACAGAAGGGTGTAAATGTGTTTGCAGCAGTTCAGAGAAGGTTTACAAGATTCATATCTGGAATGGGCATTTGTCTTATGAGGAGACATTTCACAGGCTAGGTTGCATCCCCTCAAGTTTAGAAGAATAAGGCAACTTAACTGATCCATACAAGGTCCTGAGGTCTCTTGACAGGTTGCATGTGGAGAGGATGTTTTCTTTTATCAGAGAATCCACAAGTAAAGTTTTCTGTTTGTAAGTAAGGGGTTTCACATTTAAAACAGGTATGAGTTGAAATTGTTTCTCTGAGGGCCGTATCTTTGGAATTCTTCCTGAAAAGGCAGCAGAAGCAGATTGGTTGAATAATTTTAAGGTAGATAGATTCTTGGTAAGCATGAAGATAAAAGGGTATCACGGGAAAGCAGGAACGTCAATTTGAGGTTACAGTCAGATGTTCACAATCAAGACTGGAAGGTGAACCTTCTCCTATTCCTACCGATTTCTTGCGTTGCACTATAAGAGTTTTGACCACGGTCTAACCAGAAACAGATACAATCAAATCATGAATTTAAAAACTGTTCAGTGTTTCTCTTAAATTAACACTGAAATGTGAAAGATATCCACGATGTGGAAGTGCCAGAGTTAGACTGGAGTGGACAAGGCCAGAAGTCACACGACACCAACTCTTGGAGCACTGCTGCTTCGTCAGGTGAAGTGACGAAAGAGCAGCGCTCCAAAAGTTTGTGATTTTAAGTAAACCTGTTGGACTATAACCTAGTGTCATGTGACTTCTGACCTTCTGAAAGATGTCATCTGTCCTGAGACCAACTGATGGGGGCACTGTAGATGAAGCTTTACTCCGACTAACTCCATGCTGTACTGTCCTGGAATTATTTGATGGGAACAGCATATGGAAACTTTACTCTGCATTAACCAGCACTGGGAGTATTTGAGTCGGGGTAGATAGAGGGAGCTTAATTTTGCATCTGTATGTGATGTTCAAGCACTTGGTGTTTCTATGGGTCATTCAAAATGCATGAGTGTTCCTTCACTCAGAAATGCTGGCTCCCAACTCAGTGCATATAAAATTAATGACAAAACAAAACTTGTGTATCATTGATGCAATCATTATAAAAATGCTATTTTGATAGTTTTCTTGAAAAAATATGGATCTCACACCAATAAATATGTGTATTGAAAACTTAACTTAAATATTATGTAATGTTGTTGCTCAGTGAAAAGAGTTACTTAGATTTTCTGTTACAAACAGTTTACTAATCTTAGGATTTATTCAAAACAGAGCAGAAGTATTCTAATGTAATTTAGGTTCAGTCAAATGCATAAATGGCGCAGGTTTCTTGACTGTAGCTCAATCAGTGTCAGATTTAATAGGTTTGTTGTTTGTGTAATTGTGCATTTTCTCACTTTTGAAGGTACACATGGGTCACAGGGAGAGAGCCCTTGACATATTATGACATGAATCTGTCAGCACAGGATCATCAAACGTTTTTCACGTGTGACACAGATCATGTCAGACCCGCAGATGCTGGTAAGTTCACATGTTGAGTCATAGAGAAATCTGTTGGTATTTGTGGGAGCAATTATATTACAATTGTGAATACTTTTTTTGTGGTTTGTCAATGCAGATTTAATTTTAAAAAAACAATTGACTAGGGTGTGTCATCTGAGAGGTAATTATTAAAATTTTTCAGCATCTGGGCAATTTAAAAGCTTAAAAAACGCAAGACTAGCTCTGCACACCTGTGCAGGCATACCTTTCGCATGAGAATTTGATTGCAAGTCAGATTCAATGACTGCTGATCTCAGATAGCTACAGTGTAGAAGTACTCTTGGAGTATTACAATGCAAGGGCACTTTTATAGAGGTTACCAAGGCTTTCAGGTGTATAATTACCAGACTTTGTTCCTGTTGGATTAACTTGTTATTGCATTCTTGTGTTAACATCCCCATTGCAATTACAGTCTGTTCACTGAAGCCTTTTGAGTGAGCATATTTACTTTTTATTAGGGAATAAAGTAAAACTGTCAGATGAAATTTGGAAGCGTTTAGTCCATTTCTTTATTACATAAGCATTGTTTCTGAACCCACTTCTGGTATTGGCTATCACGACTTGGGAGATAATGTGTCAAACCAGTTCACTGTTCCCCCTGAGGGAAATCTCTGGGCTTTACGTTGCTCTTTTTGTCACTTAATTTGTAGTTTAGTTTATCCACTTTTGAGGAGGGAGTGAAATTTACACCCTTTCTTTGACTATTTGTTTGATATTCATATTGTTTATATCTTTACCGTGTAAACACTGTCTTCTGCGTAATACACTTCAGCTTGTCTGCCCTCTAGCATTGTACTCACTGAGACTTTTTCCAATGTGCTTTAGACAATTATATGACCTGGCAACCGAACAAATTGTCTTTTTGCCTCGTATAGTACAAACTCACAGGAGTTACTTAAATCTAGCAGTTTGTTGCATTGTCTTTTATGTGCTGCTTAAGACCTTAGCAACCCCTGAGTTAGGAGTTGAATATCAGCCAGGGCTTGATTCTGCTTCTTACCACTTTGCAGTGATTCCTTTTGCTAAGTTTGAATATGTGAATCTTGATGGAAAGGACTGGATTGAATGAGTTAAACAAAATATGTGAGTGGGATAAACAATGTCAGAAAGACTGAATGTAGACAAATGTGACATGCTACACATAGGAAGGAAGCATAGGGTCTTGTTCACTCCATGACTACGCTTTTGAAATAGCCAAGAATGAATTGTGAGAGACCTCCGAATCCTAGCGGGCTCAACACTAAACATATCTAACCAATGCAAATCTGCAAGCAGCGTAGCCAATTGAATATTGAACTCATTGAATGCTGAAGACAATACAGTTGACTTTTGTTCCGAGGTGGTACCAATCAAATACCATGCTGCTTTAGTCATATTATTTTTTGAATACTACACCCATTTCTCGTACCAAAGATGGAGAAATTGCTGGAGCTGCATGCAAGATTCAAGGTTTCATCGATCAGAATTATAGATATTGGAGGAAAATAACAACAAAACCTTGATTTTGTATAGCAAGGTTTAATATAATTAAATTGTCTGAAAGGTGTGACGGAGAATTTGCTGTCAAGCTTAAAAGGGCGACATTGGGACTGGTGACTAACTGCTTTGTCAAAGAAGTGGGTTTGCACAATTTATTAAAGGAGTAGAGAGAGGAGGAGGTGTAAAGGAGTACTGGAGCTTGACATCTTTATGGTAAAAGATACAGATGCTGATAGGGGGTGAACGAACCAGAGATTATACAAGACTCCAGAAATGGCAGAGTTCGGTGTTTTTGGGAGGCTTGGAAAGTTGGGATCACCCAAGTTTTCAAAGAGTGAAAACAGAACTGAATTTGATGTTAATTATGTTAAAAGGATATTAAAAATCTTGCATCTGCATCCACAGCCTGTTAACTTTATTCGATCATAAATTCCCATGCTTATGCTTGGAATGGAAACTGTTTGTAAATATGTCACAGTGTAACTACACCTTTCTGTCAAGGAGTCAGCAGGAAAATGTTAATGCAGTTTGATGATGTGCAGCCCTGAAATATATCAGTCAATGTAGACGTGAGAATTCAAATGGAAATTAAAAAAAATCAGTGTTTGGCAATAAAAATGGTTGCTCAATTATGTTTCCACATCATAAACAAATTTATGCACCACCCTGTTTCAAATGAAGACTGCATATGGCTTTGATGCATCCATATACAGCCACCATAAGGTGGCTTAGTGGTTAGCACTGCTGCCTCACAGTGCCAGGGCACCCGGGTTTGATTCCACCCTCTGGAGACTGTCTGCGTGGTTTCCTCTTGGTGCTCCAGTTTCCTCCCACAGTCCAAAGATGTGCAGGTTAGGGTGGATTGGCCATGCTAAATTGCCCATAGTGTCCAGGGATGTGCAGTCTAGGTAGATTAGCCATGGGAGATGGAGGGTTACAGGGATAGGGTGGGGGAGGTGCGTCCAGGTGGGATAATATTCCATGGGCCGATGTGGATTCGATTGGCACAATGGCCTGCTTCCACTGCAGGCATTCTGTGATGAGAAAATCAAAATCGGAAGCAACAAGCTGACCAGATTTTGCTTGTCCTCTCTGACATCCGTGGGATATTGAAGCCTGCTTAAAGTATGTGTCCTACAGCTGTAGTTGAGCTTTACGGATTCAGGGCAGGAATTAGGAGTTGAGAAGCTTCCTGGTTTGACAGGCTTTTTATTGCATTGGGCCACTGGGGATGATACAAAAGCTGGCACTCTCTGAATCTCTTTCCAGCCCAGCTATTTTTTTGTAAGAGGAAGGTTGAGACTCTCACTTATTCGGTGACATTTTGATTGAGATTTTCACAGCACCACATGTAGAATTGTGGGTTTGAACCTTGACTTAGCACCATGAAGATATTTATTGGAGTGCAGACGGCTTTGGCACAGCAGTCCTGTTTTTATTGCTGCATTTAATATTCACATTACAGACTGTTCTGTTGACAGGACATGTGCTGTTATAACACATCTGCCATTTTTTTATAGCTGGACAAGTTTAATGGCTTTCTAGCTAAGTGTGGGTTTGAATAACATGACTCCTTTCTGACCAGCATTTCTGCTGCAAACTGGGGTATGTCAGCTATAAACACCTGCTGTCAATCACTTTTTTTTTTGTTCTCTTAACAGTGATGCAGAAAGCCTGGCGGGAGAGGAATGCACAAGCAAGAATGAAGGCAGCATACCAAGCTTTAGAATTAAACAATGAGTATGTTCTGTACTGCCGATTGAGATTCTGCATAACAAACTCGTGCTTGCTCCACTGTCTTTTACATCAGCCTGAAGGTTTCTGACATACTCATTGGTTAACCGTTGTGGCTTTTGAACTCTCCTGGTGCTCGATCTCCTGCTTTTTTGTTATTTTGAAGCGTTTTGAAGTCAACGTATTGAACATATTAGAAATAGTCCAGAACAAATTGTCATTTTGAGGTCTTAAAGCATTGGTTTTCTTGATTACAATTATTTTATTACTGGCTTTACTAGGCATTCTGCTTCACAAATAACGGCGTTGCCAAGTTGGAATCTTTTAAGATGATTCCAAGGCTCTCTGTTTGAAAGGGGAAGATTTACAGGGCTGAGGGATTCATTGGATAGCCTTTCTGGGTGGTACCACAGGCACAAAGGCCAAGTAGCCTCTCCCTGTGCTATGTGCCTCAGTAAAGGTCCCTCACGGCAGACTGATATAGAACGTAAAGTCGCACAGGGTCAGAGGTGAGCTGGCAAGATGGATAAAAAACTGGCCCAGTCCTGGAAGACAGAGGGTAGCAGTGGAAGGGTGCGTTTCTGAATGGAGGGCTGTGACTAGTGGCGTTCCTCAGGGATCAGTGTTGGGATCTTTGCTATTTGTAATATATATAAATGATTTGGAGGAAAATGCAACTGGTCTGATCAGTAAGTTTGCTGATGACACAAAGGTTGGTGGAACTGCGGATAGTGATGAGAACCGTCAAAGGATACAGCTGGATGTAGATCGGTTGGTGACTTGGGCAGAGAGATGGCAGATGGAGTTTAATCTGGAAAAATGTGAGATAATGCATTTTGGATGGTCTAATCCAAAGGGAAAATATACAGTAAATGGCAGAACCCTTAAGAGTACTGATGATAGGCAGAGGGATCGGAGTGTCCAGGTACACAGGTCACTGAAAGTAGCAACGCAGGTGGAGAAGGTAATCAACAAGGCATACGGCATGCTTGCCTTCATCGGCCGGGGCATTGAGTTTAAAAATTGGCAGGTAATGTCGCAGCTTTATAGAACCTTAGTTAGGCCGCATTTGGAATATTGTGTTCAATTCTATTCGCCGCACTTCCAGAAGGATGTGGTGGCTTTGGAGAGGGTACAGAAAAGATTTACCAGTATGTTGCCTGGTATGGAGGGCATTAGCTATGAGGAGAGGTTGGAGAAACTTGGATTGTTCTCACTGAAACGACGGAGGTTGAGGGGCGACCTGACAGAGGCCTACAAGATTGTGAAGGGCATGGACAGACTGGACAGTCAGAAGCTTTCTCCCAGGGTGGAAGAGTCAGTTATCAGGGTCCATAGGTTTAAGGTGCGAGGGGCAAGGTTTAAAGGTGATGTACGAGGCAAGTTTTTTACGCAGAGGGTGGTGGATGCCTGGAACTCGCTGCCGAAGGAGGTAGTGGAAGCAGATACTGTAGTGACTTTTAAACGGCATCTTGACAAATACATGAATAGGATGGGAATAGAGGGATACGGTTCCCGGAAGGGTAGGGGTTTTACTTGTGATGGGCAGCATGTCGGTCCAGGCTTAGAGGGCCAAAGGGCCTGTTTCTGTGCTGTAATTTTCTTTGTTCTTTGAGTGTATCTGCCCAATCCTTTCTTTTCATTTATGGTGAGCAATTTAAATACACCTGTGGATTTAGAGTGCAGGCTTTCATCCTAAATCTGCATTGATAACGATTGATCTGAGTTGGGCTGTTGAAGTAGGCCTTCTGCCTTCTTATTTAAGATGAGTTGGTATGGGCAGTATCAGTCAACTTCATTATTCTGCATCACCATCTAGTACCAGTTGCTGGACAGTGACTCCTTGTCCCTCTCATTTGTACCAGTGCCAGCATCTGCTCACTGTTGATGCTGACGCATGGAGGATGGCATTTCGATAAAGGAGCAGAGAGGATTTGCGGCATCTATAAGGTGTAAATCAAATAATCTAACCTTGAGAGGAAGGGAAATATTTAGGACAAATGAGGGAAGATTAAAAAATGAAACTTAGGGACTTCAGAGTTATGACTTACTGAATTTTAAAGGGGAAACATAAAATGTTATAGCAGAGAAAGAGGGCATTGTCTGTGCCAGCTGTCAGCAAGAACAACCCATCTCCTCCCACACTTACCATTAAAATGACTTGATCTGCTTTCAGTTATTGCTGATGTTTATCTGCAGTAGGAAGGACAATAATACAGAGAGAACTTTACGCTGTACCTGCTGTCTGTGTGTTTGACCAGGGTAGTGTAGAGAGAGGACTTTACTTTCAGTTTAAAAAGAAATCTTTATATATCTAACCATGTACTGTTCTGGGAGTGTTTGATGGAAATGCTGCTGAGAAAGCTTTACTGTGTCTACCCCAAACTATATTTACTCTGGCAATCTTTGATGGGATAGTGACTCCAGGATCTTGTATGAAGTACCTTAACATATTAAAGGCACTATATAAATGCAGTCAAGCCTGTTGTGCCCCAACCCATCTTACTTATGATTAAAACTTTAATGTCGTATCTCATTTCATCCATTTGTCAAGGTGTATTAAATATTTGGTCTAATTTGACAAATAGGTGTAGAAAGCAGGCTAATTGTATTGCAGTTTCTGCAAGTTGGGACTGGTGAAAAAAAGTTAATTCATTGACTAGGGCTCGTCATTTTCAGAGTAAAATGAATATATGGTTTAATGTGCATAACTGAAATGGACTGGCTTGAATAGTAGCTGTATTGGTATTTAAGTTGCTTTTTCTAGCAATCTGCAGTTCAGCTGGAATAACCATTGTGTGCCATGCTGATGTTTACTCCTCAATTAAAAATCTGGAAATGCTCCTTTTCTTTAGGGATATAGATTGCAATCTGTTCTGGATTAGAGGAATGTTTCATAGACAGGAGTGTAAATTGTCTTATTTGTGGTTATATGTGCAACTTTAAGGCAAAATTAACACAAATTTTCTCTGTCACTGGTGTACAAGATGCACTATAGCAAGTAGCCAAGGTTTCTTTGAGTATTTCCCATGGCTGGCAAATTGAAGGGCAAGGACAGCAGGCACTCTACACCCTCCTAATGCCCCTCCAAGTCACAACAATACAGATTTGGGAATGTATTTCCTGATCATTCATCATCACTGAGTCAAAGTCCTGCAGTTATCTCTGACCAACACTGAGAGAGTACCTTCACTAGATTGGTCAAGAAAGTTGTTCACCACCAACTCAGGGATGCCAGTATTTTTGTTCGTTTTTGTACTTACTGTTAAAAGAATTGCTTTGAGATGCATGCCTTAGCATATCCCAGCAAGAAAATGTAAATTGTAAGAGTATTTTACTGCTTATTTTGAGGTACTTAAACTGTGTGCAAAAGTGAATTGTTCATTGTCCTTTCATGATAGCTTAGTAGTTTTAAAGGTCTGATATTTAGCAGGGGAGCAGTGATTGAAGGTTAACGGAAGCAGCATCAGTCATGACTGTGAAAAGAAAATTCGAGAGAAAGCATTTGCAAGGCTTTGGGAAAGAGCAGGGGAGAGGAACAATTTGGGTAGATCTTTCAAAGAGCCAGCAGAGACATGATGTGAAATATAGCCTCGTCCCATATTGTCCCAAAATATCGTCCCATATGATTTTGAGAGGCTGTTTTCTTACAGGAAAGCGCTTACTCTATAGCCCTAAATGAGAGGGGTGTTGAGAGCTGAGCAAACTGCTGGAGGGTATATTAATAGGCATGTCACTTTGGATTACATCTTAAATCCCTCCGCTGATATTCCACAAAATAGCACAAAGAGGCATCATGAAGTCTGCAGTCATCTCTTTCTCACCCACATCTGGTATAGGTCAGAATGTTACAAAGGTGAAAGAGTTGGATGTAAGAATATTTTAAAACATACATTGTAGTAACCTCATGGATTGAGATGCATTCCTTCTGTAGCTTGTCAACTGGATTATAGTATATTTGGTACACAGTAACATCTTGTTTTCTTTGTAATCTTAGGTGTGCAACAGCATACGTTCTGCTAGCTGAGGAGGAGACCACCACGATCCTTGAAGCTGAGAAGCTATTTAAACAGGCACTGAAAGCAGGCGAGGTGTGCTACAGAAGGAGCCAGCAGCTTCAGCACCACAGTCCACAGCAGGAAGCACAGCACAGTAAGTCACCTAACTAACATGAATGTTGATGTATCATTATACTAAAGATTAGGGGAAAAGTATGCAACCCTTGGATACTTGGGTCAGCCTTTTAATAACAAACCTCTGGGAATCATTTTGCAGGGAGTCACCACATTTATCAAAGGAATTTAACTGTCTTATTGGATAAGAGGTAAAACTGGAAGCACAGCCAAACAGGAAGGTCAAGTTAGAGTTTTGGATGGTATCTTCCAGTCTGTCGTCTTTTTTCACCGAGTATTAAACCATCTGACCTCTGCAGTCGTGGGTGGAGATAAAAGATCCCACGGCACACTTTGAAGAAAATAAGGGCAACTCTTTCTAAATGCCTGGACGATCTTTATTACTCAACCAGTTTTTTAAATTAACAGATTATCTGGTCATTACCACATTGCTGTTTGTATGGCCATTCTGTTTACACGTTGGCTGCTACCTTTCCTACATCACATCATTGATTACATTTTAAAATAATTTAATTGGCTGTTAATCGCCTTTAGGATGTTTTATTTGCCTTTATACAGGACCCTTCACAATCTTTTCTGTTTCTAGTTTTGGAAATGATCTTTTATTAGTCTGGCTTCATTGGTGGTGCACTTTGCTTGACATGTGACTATTTAAGTTAGCATTAATACCTTGTATTGTCGAGAGGGAGAGGAAAGTCAGTCAAAGTTCCTGCTATTAGTTACTGTCGAGTGATCCCTGTTTATGGCAGATGAGGACAGGATTGACCTTGGCTGTTATGCCTCCCGTATTGAACAGCTTAAAGCAATTCATTGTCTGGACTTGCCTGCAAGAAACAATCGCTTGGGCAAGTTACCTGAAAGCTGTATTTCAGAGGAGTAGTGAATATTAGAAGTGAGGAAATTATCTTGATCAGAGCCCTCATTAAAATTTTGAGAGCAGGTGATTTACAACCTGTAAAATCTTGCCTTGAATCAAGTAATGAATAACCAAAGGGATGAACTACTTTTCGGAACAAGACTTGCCCAAGCAAAACACAAAACCATACTAAACAAAAAATGAAAAAACTGTGGATACTGTAAATCAGAAACAAAAACAGAAGTTCTGAGGAAAGGTCACCAGACCCGAAACATTAACTCTGATTTTTCTTCACGGATGCTGCCAGATCGGCTGAGCTTTTCCAGCAACTTCTGTTTTTGTGACAAGACCATACTAATCCACTTGATTGGATTGTCTGTTTCCGTACAGTAGTTTCAACCTTGCATCAGTGATTCCATGCTTGTCTGGGTCAAATGCTTGAGGCTTTAAATACCACTCCAGGAACAATCCAGACTGGCAGCACTATTGAGTTTACTTTATCCAAGATTCTATGTACTCCTTCCACATTGCATAAAATCCCATTGTTCTGTTTCAGAGATGTCCTGATAAATGTTTGTTTCACACTCCGCCTTCCCAAAAACCGATTAAAAAGTCATTTATCTTCCTGCTTTTTTTTGGAACTTGCTGCCCATAATTTGGCTGTTGAGTTTGCCAGCAGCAACTATTCTTCAAAGTAGCATTCATCTTGGGGTGAGGGAGAAAACTCTAGAACTTGGGGTCCAGGCAGCTAGTGATGGAAATTGGCGTTGTGCAAGACTCTAGGATTGATGGAGTTGGAGGAGATTGCAGGTATGGAGATGGGACGAAGCTTGGAAGAATTTGAAAACTGAGAATGGGAAGTGTATAAGCGATATGCTGTACAGCAGTTTAGTTATCATGCTTTGAATACTGAAGCTGAATTTTTCACCTGAGCGCCTGACATCTATTAACACCTATCATTTTGAGAGTGGTTTGAATTTCAGCTTGATCTATTTTCTCTTGGCAGGGCGAGACACAAATGTATTAGTTTATATAAAACGAAGGCTTGCAATGTGTGCAAGAAAACTGGGAAGAATACGAGAAGCAGTAAAACTAATGAGAGATGTGAGTAAAAAGATGCCAGTTACACCAGCTGTAAAAACTGCATCACCTTTATATTTTGACTGATTTGTTCTTATCTACCCATAATCGTTGGTCATACTCTGAATTATAATTAAATAATGTAAGTTATCAAATTTGCCAATGTCTTCCGACTTAAGCACAAAATTTCACCTGTTATTCCCAGCGCATTACTTGGGGTGCTACACTGTCAGAGGTGCTGCCTTTTGAATGAGACATTAAACCAAAAGTCTGCCTGGTCTTCAGATGCACATAAAATATCCAATTTTACTGTTTCCAAGGAGAAGAGAGTTCTTGAGATGTCTTGGACCAATACAAGGACAGGCATGGACTCTTTCAAATTAGTTATCTAGTCTCTAAAGTTTTTGAGTAGATTTGTAGCTCAGGTTGTGGATGTTGTGGTTGGTTTGCTCATTGAGCTGGTTCGTTGTTCTGCAGACGTTTCATTACCCTGCTGGGTAACGACACCACAACTGGGAAACAAGATACTCAATATACTAAAGAGACTCAAACAGACCAGACAAATCAGCAAAACAGACTACCCAAGAATGAAACCAGAAGGAACTAACACCCCCTGATTCTACTGCCTCCCGAGGGTACACAGACCAGAAGTACCCCTCAGACCCATAGTCTCCCTGCCAAGTACACCATCACATAGGTTAGCCTAGGAGTTACAACGGAGACTAAAGCACCTCGTCAGCAAGTCACCCACTCAATCCACTGAGCCCAAGAGTTCCTCAATTCCATCAAGGACATAAGAATAGACAATGATGAGACTATGATGTCATTTGACGTTACTGTCCTATTCACATCGATTGACATACCACTAGCAAGAGAAACACTAACAATACTACTAAAACATCATCTCCACAGACAACATGCTGTAATTACTGGACCTGTGCCTCATGACCCACTTTACCTTTAACGGCCAAATCTGTGAACAGATCAAAGGGACACCCATGGGGTCACCTATCTCTGGACTAATAGCAGAAGCGGTGATGCGGAGACTCGAAAGCCTGGCCCTTCAGCTATTTCAACCGAAACTATGGATCCAATACTTGGACGACACCTTCGTCATTATTAAATGGACCAAATTAGAGGAGACACACCAACTAATAAACAACACTTTCACCAGGATCAAATTCACCAGGGAAGATGAAAAGAACGAACAGCTCCCATTCCTGGACGTCATGGTAGAACACCGGGCCAATGGAGAATTCCTGACAAAGGTACGCAGAAAAGTCACACACACTGACCAAGTACTGAATTTCAACAGTAAGCACCCTAACACCCACCAACAAAGTTGCATGAAAATCCTATTTAAACGAGCAGCAACACTGCAGCAACCCAGAACTACGCTAAAAAGGAGTACCTCCATCAAGTATTTAAGGACAACGGATACCTGAACAATTGGATTCAACGATACCTATCACATGAACAACAACAGGAAGATGCTGCACGCCCTAACACACTCATCACGCTACCACACATCAGGAACATATCTGAACTGACCACAAGACTCCTACAACCACTGGGCATCAGAGTGGCACACAAACCCACGTCAACCCTACGCCAGCTGCTAACCCGAACCAAAGACCTATTGCCCACTGTGGACAGAACCAACGTTATATACAAAATTTCTTGCGAAGACTGCGACAAACATTACATTGGATAGACAGGAAGAAAATTAGCTAAAAGAGTGCATGAACACCAACTAGTAACAAAAAGACTCAACCAATACTCACTCATCTCCATCCACATGGATAAGGAAAACCACCAGTTCAATTAGTACAACACCAGGATCCTAGGACAGGCCAAACAGAGACAAGCATGGGAATTCCCAGAGGCCTGGTTCTCCACTAAGAAGTCCGTCAACAAAAACATAGAGCGAGACCCTATATATACTCCACTGCAAAGGAAAACTGGAAGCGAGTTATCCAACTCAACAGACACCAAAGTTTAAAAACCAGGCAGGAAAACACAACAGTGCTTCATTGGAGGCTGCACTGATGATGTTACCCAGCAGGATAATGAAACGTCTGCGGAACGACGAACCAGCTTGGTGAGCGAACCAACCACAGCAGTTATCTAGTCATTGTTCTATTATTGTTTGTGTGATCTCACAATGTGCAAATTAATGTTTCTGCATTATAAAAGTGAATGATGACAGTTCAAAAGTCTTTCATTGACTGGAAAGCTTTGGGATATCCTAAAGATGTGAAATATACGTGTTGTATTCACTAATTCTGTGTATGGAAATAACAGCAATATCATCTCGTGTTTCGAAATGAGCATGTTGGGATTTAACTGTTAATTAATATTGCCTTTACCTTCCAGTCTTTTTTTCAAGGAAATATAATAAACATTACGTATTAGGAGAACTAACAACTTGTGATCTTAAATTCTTGGGTAACATTTTTCATAGTGGTTGTTTACGGACTTGTGGGGCTTAAGACTGCTTGGATTCTATTTCTCCACAAATGTCCGTAAGGTGAAAGGAAAATTCCGAAGAGTGTGACCTGCTCTGTTGGATTTTCCTGTCAATAGTTTTGAAATTTTTAGAACTCTGGTTACTGCTCAGTACAGAATTAAATGATATGTCTGTAGAAGCAGTGTTAAACAATGTATATTTTGAATTTTCAGAACCTCACATTAAATAATGTTCAATAAAATGTATTAACTCTCAATGTCTTTTCTTTCTCAGTTGATGAAAGAGTTTCCACTCCTTAGTATGCTGAATATACATGAAAATTTATTAGAAGCTCTGTTGGAGTTACAAGCCTATGCTGATGTACAAGTGGTCTTGGCCAAATTTGATGGTTAGTGTCCTAGTTAATATTAACACTGTAATTACAAGGCTTCTACCAACGGTTATACAATGGGATTTTTTTTTCATGGGATGGGTTGTTCACTCCTTAAGATGTGATTTTTACTGTAATATATTGTCTTTGTATGTTGGATCATCTGCAAGCTTCAAACTACAGTTTAACAGAAAACCATAATGGATCTTGCACCAGTGACTAAGTACCTCTCACTACACCAAAGACCTAATCAGCTCCCATGGTGTTCCATGCCCATGCTTGTAAGGCTTGCCCACACTAAGCAAGTGCACAAAGACTGTGACATAGAGTTCTGTCTGCTTATGTTTCCTTATAAACTCCTGCCCCCTCCAACTCCTACAACTTAATGTACCTTCTATCTTTGCCACCTGCGAATATAAAAATACCAGTTTTGTATACCTCTATCTAGGCCAAAGCATCCTGCTTGATTAGCAACCCATCCATCAACTTGAACATTCATTCCTTTCACAACTGATGCACGGTGCTTGCAATGTGTATAGTCTACAAGATGAATTCATTAAATCGCCCAACTTCTACCATACAGAAGGCAAGGGCTCATGGGTACACCGCTGCCTGCAAGTTCCTCTCTGAGCCACGTGCCATCCTGACTTGGAACGACGTTGTCTGTTTGCTCACTGTCATTATGTCAATCCTGGAACTTCCTTCACATCCTTCACAGCATTGTGGATGTCTCTTCAGCCCAAGGACTACAACAGTTCAAGAAGGCAGCTCATGTCCACCTTCTCAAAGGCAATTATGAATGGCAGTTACCCAGTGGCACTGACATTCCAAGTAGAAATATAGAGACAGCTATGGTGAAAAGCTGAGCTTCCAGTTTGGATATCAGACATCATTTTCCTTTATCCCCACTTTCTGTCTCCAACTTCCAAACCTCTGAAGACAATTCATGCTTAACAACATTTACTAAAAGTGTTGATTTTATTGTTTTTATTTAAAATCTTAGAATTGCAGGGAGCACTTTGTTGTAATATGTGCAATTTTGCGCGCCCCCCCCCACCCCAAGCAAGATATTGTTTTAGTTGCTTTTTAACTTCCTTAAAGTAGTATTCAGTTCAGGTCTCCCCTGCCACATTTGAAGTTTATAGCTATTGCTTTGGGTAGTCGCTATTATATATTCTGTTTTTCAGGCACTGACTATGCCAGTGTGATATTTGATATTGTGAATTAGAGTGCTGCTGTCTGAAGCTAAATCTTTTGCATATATTTTCAACATTCTTTTTGGCCAGGGAGAAAACAGCTCCATATAATACAGTAAAAATAAAGATGCCCTTCAATAAGAATGGGGAGATTATTAAGGGGTTAACTGAGAAGGACCAGGGATAAGTAAAAGTCGGGGAATAATTTTATTTTCCTTCTCTTAAGGTAAAGGGAGTACTTTTAAGTATTTAGACAAGTTGGCAAATAAGACTAAATAAGTTCAAGTCATGGCAGATGACGTCAGCCAAATGCAATGTGTGACCTGTTATATGTGGGAAGTCATGGTCGCTACCAGCATCTTAGATCACCTCCTGCACAGAAAGTGCTCTCAACTTGAGTTTCATGTTTCAGAGCTCAAGCAGTGGCCAGAGACAGTGGCACAGACACAAGGCTGAGAGCTTTGTGGATAGCAGCTCAAGGAGCTAGAAGAAAGAAGGGAATATATGACCACCAGGCAGTCAAAGAAAATGAGGCAGAAGTCTCCTGGGGTCCTGCTCACAAATTGGTTGTCCATTTTGGAAGCTGATGAGGGTGCTGACTCCTCAAGGCAGTGCAGACAGACTCCAGCATTTGGCACCACAAGCAGCCTGACTGTATAGGAGGGGAGGAAGAAGAAAGCAAGAGCGGATTCATTACTTCGGCGAACAGACAGGCTTTTCAGCGGCTGCAGTCGTGACTCCAGGATAGTGTGTTGCCTCCGAGGTCCCAGGGTCAGGGATATCACTGAGCAGCTGCAGGGCTTGAAGGGGAGGATGACAAGACAGGGTACACATTGGTACCAATGATATAGGGATGAGGTCTTGCATCACGGATCTAGGGAGCCAGGTAGTTGACAAAAGAGCAGGATCTGAAAGGTTGTAATCTTTGGATTACTCTCAGCGTTGGATGCTAGCGCATACAGAAATAGAAGAATAGTGTAGATGAATACGTGGCTCACGAGTTGCTTCAAGATGGAGGGTTTCAGATTCCTGGACCATTTTGGGGGAAGGTGAGACCTATACAAGTGGGATGATCTGTATCTGAACCAGACTGGGACCAACATCCTTGCGGCTGGATTTTCTGGTTCCGTTGGGAGGAATTTAAAACAATTCAGCATGCGTAATAGGGGCATGTCATACTTCAGTAAAGGAACCAAGGCAGATGGGAGTTTATCCATGTTGAGTTTCGAAGGAGTAAGACAAGGCTGGATGGACTCTACCTTTAATGTTAGGAGGATTATCAGTAAGACCGATGAGTTAAAGACATGGATTGACATATGGAATTGCGATGATGTTGCCATCACAGATATGATGAGAGAAGATCAGAACTGGCCAATCACCGTTCCAGTGTACTGGATCTTCAGGCAAGAGGTGAGGGTATAAAGAGTAGATAGGATCTCATTATTAATTAAGAAGTCAGTTACTGCAATAAGGAGGAATGATATCTTGGAAGGATCTTCAAATGAGGCTTTGTGGGTAGAGTTTAGGAATTAGTAGGGGGACAGTCATACTGCTGGGAATGTATTATTGACCCCCAAACAGCCAGTGGGCAGTGGAAGAGCAGGTATGTAGACAATTTACTGAGGTGTGTTAAAAATAATAGTAGGGTAATTACATTAAGGAATTTCAACTTCCCCAGCATTAATTGGGATAATGATAGTGTAAAGGCTTCGCAGGAGGGAGATTTATTTATGTATTCAGGAGAGTTTTCATATCAACATACCATAGAAGGACCAACAAGGGGCAGTGCAATGCTGGACCTCATTCTGGGAATGAAGCCAGCAGCTGTTGGAGGTGGCAGTGTAATTTAATGATGACGATCACAATGTCAGACATTTTAAATTTGTTGTGGAAAAGCAGAAAGATGGTCTGCAAGAAAGGGTGTAGGATTGAGGGAAGGCAATTTTTATGAAAAATAAAGTTGGATCTGGCTAAAGTAGATTGGAAGTGGCTACTTCTGTGTAAATTGACAGCAGTACGGTGGGGTGGCATTCAAAGTGGAATTGGTGGTAGTACTGGCCCAGCATCCTTTACAATAAAATGTAGGAGCAACAAGTCCAGAGAACCCTGGATGTTTAGGAGCATGCAGGACTGGCTAAGAAGGAAAAGAGAAATTTTTAGTAAAGGAAGCAAGTCAACAGAGGCCCTGTTGGAGTGTAGCGGGGGACTTGAGAAAACAATAGGAGAATACAAAGAGGGGACATGAAAAAATACTGACCGGTAGGATTAGGGAGAGTCTAGATATTCTGTAAGTCTATCAAGTGGAAGAGTACTCGATGAATGGTAGGACATTAGGAAGCTCAAAGGAGCACTATCATCTTGGAGTGCATGTCCACAGATGTCTGAAGGTGGCAGGACGGGTTAATAGGGCAGTTAAGAAGGCATAGGGGACACTTGCCTTCATCAGTCATGGCATGGATTATAAGATCAGGAAAGCTATTTTGGAGCTTTACAGAACTTCATTTAGGCCACAGCTGGAGTAATGTGTGCATATCTGGTCACTGCACTATAAGAAGGATGTGATTTCACTGAAGCAGATGCAGAGGAGATTTGCCAGGATGTTACCTGGATGGAATGGTTAGCTATGAAGCGAGGCGAGATAAGCTCTGGTTGTTATTTTTTTTAAGGTAAGAGACTGCTGAGAGGGGACTTGATTGAAGTGTATAAGATAATGATGGGTACGGACAGGGTGGATAGAAAGTAGGTGCTCCCCTTAATTGAACAGTCAATAACAAGGGACATAATATGAGGTAAAAGGCAGGAGGTTTAGATGGGATTTGAGGAATGCCTTTTTTTTTTCCACCCAGTGGGTGGTGGGATTCTGGAATGCACTGTCTGGGAGAGTAGTTGAGGCAGGAAACTTTTAACCTTTAAAAAAAGTACTTGGATGAGCCACTTGAAATGTCGTAACATTCAAGTCTATAGGCCAAGTGTTGGAAAGTGGGACTAGTGTAGATTCAGAGTAGTTTTCATTTCAGTGTAGACTCAATGGGCCAAAGGGCCTCTTCTGTCTTGTATGATTCCAGGAATATAAGTACAGAAATACGGCATTCAGCCCTTTGAACATGGCTATTCTTCTCCTCCGTGCAATTTTCTCACACTATCTCCTTATCTGTGTTAGTGTGACCAATAGTGTAAATTTGCTTGGGTGGTGGGGTGTATTCAGTTGGGATGAAGCTGAGAATTTTT